TGGCGGGCTCTCTGTTCCCCAGCCATAGCCACTCTTCATTCTCATTATTTTCTTCTCTTCTTCTCTCTCTTTTACTGGCAACCATGACCTTCACAACAAAAGCCTCGTCAGCCTGCACTTCGGAACCAGGCCCTGTAAAACCCACAATTCCATTGGTCGCCTTCTTCGATCGGCTCCAAGAAACTGCGCTCGCCACTTTTGGAAAAACCAACTTCGACCCAAAAGTCTACGTAGATTTGTCGCTCAAGTTCGAGTTATCGAAGACTCAGAAAGCCTTTGATCAGCTTCCGAAGTCTGCAAACGGGTCTGCATCAGTGAAGGATTTGAAGGAGTTCATAGCAGAGTATTTTGAGGATGCAGGGGCGGATATGGTGCTTGCTGAGCCAGAGGATTTTGTCCCAGAGCCGGAGGGGTTCTTGCCCAAGGTGAAGAACCCAGAAGTGAGGGCTTGGGCTTTGGAGGTGCATTTGCTTTGGAAGAATTTGAGCCGCAAAGTCTCTGATGGGGTCCACAAGAGGCCTGAATTCCATACTCTTCTTCCTCTGCCTCAGCAGTGTGTAATTCCTGGTTCAAGGTTCAGAGAAGTTTATTACTGGGATTCTTATTGGGTAATTAGGTAAGTGTTCTGTTGATTTCTCTCTTCTTTTTTTTTAATTTTTGGTTGATCGTGTTATTTTAAATCATGTGCTACATTATCTTTTCTAAATTTCTTAAGGTGATGCTAATTTAAAATGTGAATTCAGAATCTAATTCTAGTCATTATTGAATCTTCATCACTTGAGCCAAAAGCAACCCAATTGGTTTGTTGGTGTGAGACTACCTTTCTTTTCCCACTTTTTCATTCACACTGGAGACAAAAAAAGCATAGAGACCTTGTATGCATGGTGGTGTTTTTCTCATTGTTTTTTGGCGGGGTTAGTTGATAGAAATTTAATGCTCATGAATTATGTAAGCTGGTGGGGTTAAGATAATTGTGTATTTGATGCGCAGGGGCCTGCTTGCAAGTAAAATGTATGACACAGCTAAAGCAATTGTGTCTAATCTCATTTACTTGATAGAAGAATATGGATATGTCCTTAATGGTGCAAGGGCCTATTACACTAACAGGAGGTAATGCTTTATCATTTTGTTTACTTCTTCTCCCAGTGAATTTTTAATTGATGTTTTGTTTCTAAGGAACCCCAAAAGATTACAAAAGCAACTTGTAAAATATGTCAATTTTGCACAAGCAAATTTCCTTGGTGTATACTAAGCTCTGCGTTGTATTACACACTCATATAGTTCAGTTCCATATTAATCCTGGGTGGGCAAACTTTGCAGCCAGCCACCCCTTTTGAGTGCAATGGTTTTTGAAGTATACAAGAGGACAGGCGATGTCGAATTCGCTAGAAAGTCTCTCCCTGCACTCATCAAGGAACATGAATTCTGGAATTCAGGTTTATGATAAACTTTTTTTACATAATAAGTTCACATTATAATGATTGCAGCCGTCCTCTGTTCATCTATAGTTGGTTTTAAATTTTCTGTAGTTTTAATTTAATTTTCTGCTTTTGTAGGTATTCATAAGGTAACTGTTCAAGATTCTCAAGCTCAGAAACACACTCTAAGTCGATATTATGCAATGTGGAACAAACCCAGGCCTGAATCTTCAACCATTGTATGTCCTCCTCTGCAGCTCCCTTAGAAAAAAAAAATTATACTTTTTGGTAGGAAATAAAAGAGAATAGAGCTAGTGTATTACTCCTTTTAACAGATTGTTATGCCTGTCAGGACAAGGAATTTGCTTCGAACATCTCGAATGTTTATGAGAAACAGCATTTTTACCGGGAAGTGGCTTCAGCTGCTGAGTCTGGATGGGATTTTAGTACAAGATGGATGAGGTAAATCCACAACAAGTATGCAAATCCACACTTAGAGAAGAGCCACTATAAATTAGTTGAAAGAGGATTTTTCTTTTTCTTGTTGCAGGAACCAGTCAGATTTTACAACATTGGCCACCACATCAATTTTACCTGTTGATTTAAATGCATTCATACTAAGGGTATGCATGGCTCAGAAATCTTAAACAAAAATGAAGCCCTACAAATTATGACCTGTGAACGTTACATTTCTTTTCTTATCTGTTAATGCAGATGGAACATGACATTGCCTTACTTGCAAAAGTTACAGGAGATCACAACATTGCTGAGCGCTTTCTCAAAGCTTCTGAAGCAAGATATGAGGCCATAAAAACTGTTTTCTGGAACGCAGAGAAGGGACAATGGCTTGATTATTGGCTCGGCAATAGCACATGCAATGCGGTATCGAATTTCGAAGCTCTTTGATTTGTTGAAAGTTTTAGTTGTGGTTGTCTTAATTCCTTCATATTTATGCTTATAGGAAGCTCAAATGTGGGAAGCTTGTAACCAAAATCAGAATGTATTTGCTTCAAACTTCGTCCCTTTGTGGATCGAGCCGTTTTTCTCAGGTTTGTGCTTCTGAGCTCCATCATATGGTTGCATCTGAGTAGAAGCTTAGACTGAAATTTATATAAACAGACAACAAAGCAACATGAAAGCGCACCACAATTTTCCTTTGAAAGATATTAAGTTCTTTGGATTAAAATCATCAGTAGATTGGTTCAGATGCCCTTTTCTATATCATGAACCAAAGAACATAATTGAATGAATATTTTGTCTTGTGCATTGTATACTGAGAAAGCCCTTGCCCTGTGTGTATGTGAGTGAAGATGCTTCTCTGGTAGAGAAAGTTACAAGAAGTCTTCAAAGCTCAGGACTGCTTTGTGATGCCGGTATCGCAACATCCTTGACAAAGTCAGGAGAACAATGGTGAGTTCATAAACTAAAATCGTACTATCTTTCAGCATTTTAAGAATTATCTGAGGCCTTTCA